GAAGAGCTTGATTTGCCGAGGTCATTATTGAGGCAGTGGCGTGGCGTGAGTTTCGATGTATCGATTGTAATGCCATTTAAACCTATGGTAAATAATCGATTATTAAGGTGTTCGCTGCGAACACCCTAATAATCGATATTTTTCCATAGGTTTAAATGGCATAACAATCGATATATCGCAATTCACGCCACGCCACTGTATTGAGGATTTACTGCAACAGCAATCAAGAGATTACTCCCGTCATCTTGAGATCGAGAATGCGGAAAAAAATCGAAAATCTTCGGGAGCCGTTTAGCGAAGATATTAGAAAATGAGTGAGAACCGTAGTCAAAGGCAAGAATCTTCCTGAGTTTTCTAAAGACGTGTCGGAATTTTTAGCTTCCTCCGAAATTTTAGCTTGCGAGAATGGAGAACTTTACCCCAACCCTACAAACAGATTGAAATATTTGAATCTTTTAAAAGTTACTGGTACCACTTTTCTTTTCAAAATGTAGCCCTGAACTTGTGAACCACTTGGAGAGTTGGTACACCGAAAAAAAAAGTATACCGAAATTTTCACCGAGTGTACTAGGTTAATTCTATCATTAGTATACTTGATTTTTGACACAATGATACTGAAGTGTAAGTAATCATTAGGCATCTGCTAGCATAATCATATAATTTTGGTGAATGTGATTAGAATTAAATAAGAAGAATACGTCGAATAAGATTAGAATTACTACCTATGCTGCCATAAAGTACGTTGTTGATAGCCTTATACACATCATAGCCGCTCAAACTATACTTTTTTCCAGTGTACGGATCACATCTTGAAAGAATTTTGTGCGCCTTTTTTTAAAATAAAAAATAAAAGAAAAAACGAACAAAAACACCCCAATTTGAACGGTATAAAGTGTATTGGCGACTAAGTACCAAAAAGTGCACTTTCTTCCGAAGTAAAAACTCCCCTGGCACGCAGATGTTCGGCGACTCCTGAATTCCTCAGAAATTTACCAGGAGGAAAAAGACGAAAACAAGCGAAATGTCAATACTCTCCGAGAGACATCGACGATTCTAATAGCTCATTCCAAATCGAATTTTTTTTCCGCGGATAAGAAAAATTTTTGCCTTCACATTTTTAAAGTTCAATTACACGAGCGAGCCAACGTTTTTTTTTTTACTTCATCTGACTCGACGAGGTTTTTCGAAAATTTTTTTGCCCGTAAAACCAACCGAGGAACTTGTAAGTCCACTGTGGACGCTCAGCGCGGACATTCATAACATACTTGGAGAAGAATCAAATTTTTAATTTTATTTCTTCGGTATGCGGACACAATACGAATGTTATTTTGTTTAGGTATGATTGCTACAATCGCGAGAAATCTATTGTACAGACCTAAGCAAAAACGTCGTACCTAATCCCACGAATAAAATATGTATTTTTGGGACTTTTATAAATATTCTTCCTCAATATTTTCAGTTGCTTCAGATTAAATTCCGGAGAACATTCTCTGAAAAATTTGCAGAATAATATTCATAAGTTTCTTCAAATAATCAAATTTTATAGGAGGAAAGGTGGCGTTCAATCTTATGTGGAGTTCTTCCTTAGTACAGAAGTATTTTTTCCCGGCCCTAACAAATGGGATTGAGAATGCATAGATTCGCCCCGATTAAGGTGGAGGAAGGAGACAAGAAGTGTCCATTGGATAAAGCTACAAATAAAATGATCGCACACTAACAATAGAATGATCATATTCCAACAAAGATTATGATCAGTTTTACAATTTTTAATAAGTATGAAAAAAGTCTAGTGCTCAAAAGGGTAGGTATTAAAATGTAATACATATAGCTATATTTATATTATTAAACAGTTCCGGAAGTATATAGAAATATAAGTTCTGAAGGCGTTGTACTTGGTGCATTCACGGTGCAATTTCAAGAATACAACTTCAGAGAGAAAACTTTATTTTCATTCATTACGATGAGAATGGACGTTAGAATAGCATGAGCGCAACGTTGTGGGGTGAAATCAGTTCTGGGAGATTCACGTTCCTAGCTTATCACCGTGCCTAAACACATTACATTTTCTTTCTCTTTCTTTAAATCATGGACGAAAATGAATATAAAGGTATCCACATCAAACTCAAATTACGTAGTGCGTAATTGCAATTCTATTTTGGTTCTAATTACTGATAATAACTTTAAACCACCATTAGAATGTGCCCGGAGCGAGAATTCGAAGTAATGCACACTGTATAGGCTCTGTTCTTCGAATAATTTATGCGATTGGTAAAGGTCTAATTTAGTGTCCGTAAAATTGCGAGGCACTCATTGAACATATAATTTAGAAAAGGTAAAGTTTTAAATATTACGGTTCTCAGTCACAAAAAAGAGTTCCTTTAATTTAGCTAACTTTTATACAGCTCAAAATAAAGTTTGAGCCAAACGAAAGCTAGATGATCCGAAAATACAGGTTGTTATAACACGGAGTTAAACAAATGAGGAGTAACAATTGACTCAGAATACATGTGAGCTTTTTGCCGGAGAACGACTTTCCTTGCATCTTCTAATCTAAGAATAGTTTATCAAAATTATATTTTTGTGCTTTAAAAATGGAGCGAAGTACGCGAATTTTTGCCGAAGTACTCGGACAATTATGAAGCCGAACAAGTTCGAACTTCGCACCCAAATGTTACCGATCGACACCTTTTTAACCGTTTTTCTCTTTCCAATACGTGAATCTAGAAGTTTATTATTTCACAAGCTTGCTTCCACGTTCACTTTCAATTTATGGATAAATTTGAAGTCTTTCAAACAATGGTTTAACAGAAGTGAATATAATTTTAAAGTTTGATGGGATACATTTTTCTTGGTCAAGTTGTAAAATAAGCACCTTCGGATTGATAAGAGTCCGTCTGTTTTTTTAAGAACTTTTGGACCTCCATACTAGCTTTCGTACTTCTCGTTTTCTTTTCTATCGTAAGCTTAAATTATCAAATTTACTCATGTAAACTTAAAATTGGAGACGAGGACAATAAATCTTTGACCATGTCATGACTGCATTTATAATTTTATGAAACAAAATAAAAAACGTAAGCATTTTTCTCAAAAGAGGTTTTCGAGATGAAGCCCTTCTTAATCCAAACTCCTGCGGTAAGTACTTTGGATTTTATCAGCTAAATATAAATTGGAGGTTTGTGTCGTTGTAAAGTTAGAGCTGGCGAAGATTATTATAGCTCCTGGGGATAAAAAAATCAATTCCAGTGGATCGATAATATTTTAAAATGGATAAAATCAAGCTATTATGGTCTTGTGGAAGCAATGGAACTTTTAACGACATTTTGTCTTGTTGAAATTAATAGCATATCCTGGGGAAATTCTTCTAACGATCCGATGCAAATCCAATATAGTGATCTCAAAAGCGGAAAATTTTAATTTATAACGTTAAATAGGATATTAATGGAAAATGATGTAGTCGATGTAGCGCTACATCGTGAAATACAAAAATCACTTGGGACAAGAAATTTTGTCCTCAAATAAAAATTATTTCACCGTAAAAATCTTTGACGTTTAATAGCTATTGAGTCGGAACTAGATAATCTTCGGAAATTGGCTCAATTGTGGTGGATCAAAATTTAGTGCTATTGCATTTTTACTTTAGAAAAATTCTAGCACGAGGGGTGTTGGATGTATGAGATTTAATACATTTTTGGGTGTTTGATAAAGTCACTTTCAAGTATTTTTGGTAGTATTTCTTGAAGATAAGTCTTTAAATAAAGAAGAATAATCAAAAGATTTGTTCAGATTGGCAATATCCTAGAATGACTGTCCTAGACTTCTGTTAATTTTTAAGAGGTCATGGTAAAAAACAAGGGATGAACTTTTTTTAATACAACGCACTAAGTGGACGATAACGAAGCGAGGGCATGTGAAAAATCGCTCTGATCAAAATATTTTAATTTATTTTGGGTAGATATGAAAATACATAAAGGTATAAGAATTAAATTCTCGGAGGATTGCGAGAGAGTGGTCAAAATAGTCTTTATCGGGACAATTTTTTTTTCGAAGTTTATACGTGAGTGTGGGAGCATACCTTAAAAAATGATAAGAGTCTAAAAAATCATCATTTAACTTTGCGTCAAGTAATATATTTACTTTATTCGTGAGGCTGAAGCGGAACAGAGAGACTTCAATTTAAATCTGAGCTTCAATTGTAAAAACCGGCGAATTAGTTTGACCTTGTACCGCTCGATGATAACCCATGACGACAATAGAAAGAGAAAAAAAGTGATTTGCCGAATTTCCACGGAAGAATTATTTTAAGGGAAATTTAAGTTTCTAGAAGAAATCCAGAAATGCAGAATTTCTAAATGATCATCTCGGATTTTTACGTGGAACATGAATCTTAAAAAGTGCAGTAATAGTTCGGAGGCTATCTCGGAAACCGCCACGAAAAACTTTACGACAGAGGAGGAAATTGGGCGTCAAAGGAAAATTTTGACTACGTAGCGAAACATTGCGCACGTTGATGAACAAAAAACCGAGTGCACAATCAGAATCTGCGAACGAGCTGTATTCTGAAATAGGTACCTACATTAATTTTTTTTAGCTGGAAGGGAGGGGGGTGCTAATATATAGCCGATAGAAATGACAGTACGGGCCGATTTATATTTGAAATTTTTTTTGTAAGTCCGGAGTAATTTTATGCCAGAATTCGAAAACCTTTGCGGCGATGATGGAAAATAGAGGTATAGTTACTTACGTACAGCGTTCCCAGTTAAAGTTTTCTACGCGATAACGTCAAACCCTAAAAATTATTTTACGTATGATAATCATAGCAACTCAAAAACTTGAAAAAGAAAAGAAAAACAAAAAGTTAAAAAAAGGAGTGGAGAAAAGTTGCAGAGGCGCAATTAAGTAGTGGAAAAGAATTTTTCGCGAAAGATTCGTTGGCCATGTATATGAGGTTTGTGATAGGGGTAGTGATAATAAAATAAAAACAGAAAATAAAATAGACTTACATAAAATTGAAACGTAAAATAAATCCAACGAGAGGTGATGAAAACCAAAAAGCTCCAAAAACAAATTTTATCCAGGTCAAATTAAACTCGAAAATAAAAATCGGAACAATTTAGGATAAAACAAAAGAGAACTGAATACAAATTATCATGTAATTAAATAAAACGAAAAGGTTTAAAAAAATATTTTAAAAAACAACGGGAAGTTATCAAACTGGTGAGAATCCGAACTGATCAACTTGAATCAAAACTATAAAACATAACTGAACAAAAAACACGGATACGCAGACGACAACCGTACGATTTCAACAAATTATTTAATGAATCACACCTTGGATAAGGACCTCAGAACATTTTCACACGCGTAAAATCGGATGGCCTCATGCGGCACATGACTGAACGCCGAACGGTACGAAATGATACTGAATTCGAAAAGGGAAGCGATTGGATACATGCGAGCAGCGATCAAGGGGAGTTTGAGAGCGCTAACACCTCCGTGCAGCGCTGCGCTCTAGCGGCCAGGCTCCCAACTAGGCCCTCCTTTGCTCCTCTGGTGGGGAAAGTTTTCGGGAGCGAGAAGGACGAAGAGCGTCCTCCCGCCAGGACGAAGATATCTCCCGACAGGAGCGCGAGCGAGACAAGGCGGACCAATGAAAAAAAGAGAAAAAAACCAACCAAAAAGGGAAAAAAGCTGGATGAGCAACAAAGAAACTCGGAGCCGTCGAGCGGTACAAGTGTTTCGCGCAAACTCTGGTAGACGCTCTCCGTCGTCTGGCGACCGCCTATTTCCCAGTGCAACACGTTTCTGCCCCCACCCACTGCCCCTTGTTGGGCGAATCTTTAAAATTTTTATTCGGAACCCTTTACGCCCCCCTTA